TAAACCCTGTGACTAAGAGTGTCAGCCAGATGCTCCTTGAACTCTGACAGGCTTGGTGCTGAGACCATTTCTCTGGGGAGCCTGTTCCAGGGACTGACCACCCTCTCAGTGAAGAACCTTTTCCTAATGTCCAGACTGAACTTCCCCTGATGCAGCTTCATTCCATTTCCTCGTGTCCTATCACTGGTCACCAGAGAGAGATCAGCACCTTCCCCACCGCTGCCCCCCTTGAGGAATGTGTAGACTGTGATGAGGTCACCCCTCAGCCTTCTCTTCTCCAAACTGAACAAGCCAAGTGACCTCAGATGCTCCTCATAAGTCTTGCCCTTGAGGCCTTTCACCACCTTGGTTGCCCTCCTCTGGACACACTATGATAGTTTGATAGCCTTCTTGTATTGAGGCACCCAAAACTGCACACAGTGCTTGAGGTGGGGCCACACCAGTGCGGTGTCAAGTGGGACAGTCACCTCCCTTGTCCAGCTAGCTATGCTGTGCTTGATGCACCCCAGGACACAGCTGGCCCTTTTGGCTGCCAGGGCACACTGTTGACTCATATTCAACTTGCCGTCAACTCAAACCCCCAGATCTCTTTCTGCGGGGCTGCTCTCCAGCCTCAATAAATAAAGAACTGTTTCAGTGGTATTTTTAATAAGGCATGCTAGATAATGTATGCCTATGGTTCATTCAGAACCCTCTAAAGCTGCAATTTTCTTTAATTGATAAGACTTACAAAATGTGACTCAAAATGACAATATGTCATTTGATGATGATTTATAAGATATCACTCAAGTTTTTAATTGCATCTATTCTGTTGCTAGTGATAAAGAGGTAACAAAATGACTATGAATGACATAACAGGAAAAAAACTTCTTTATTACTATGAATTTTGTATTTTAAGTCACAGCTATGTTTTCATCAGTTATGTTACAACAGTAATGTAGTAAAATGATCTTTCAAATGAGAACCTTTCAGTATAAACTGAACTTGAGTAGCCAATTCTGATAATTTAAATTTGGTTTCTAAGTTAATTTTGAAAGGTTAGATGAGTTTTAAATGTTTTTTTTTGTTATTATGCAATAAACACTTTTCACTTGCATAAACATTTTATTAGTTTTTGTATAAATAAGGCATATAGAATACAGAACATTGCACTCTGGAAGGCATTTGTGTGGAAAGGAGAGGAAAGTCCAGTAAAAATTATTGAATGTTCAAAAGGTATCTAAACCAATTTAAATAAGGAAGTTTTGTAACATCCTGTTTCTGTTCTTACCCCGTCCTTGGATATCTGCTTAGCAGGGCTTGCATCTCTCGTGTTGCAAGATCTCATTTATGCAAACCAAAATTGTCAGATTGTTATTTTTGGTGAAATGACTCTTTCTAGTTTGAAGAAAAATGGAAGATTTTTCATTGACTGCCATGGTTCCTCAGTGATTCTTTTGATTTTTACATACATTAACTTGATGGATATATTTATCTGTTTTATCTAAGCTGCACAGCTATACAGTATATATGTTTTTTTGTTAAGTGGTGCCAGCCATATGTGTTTGCATGTGTACTTTATATGAGGCACATTCTCTAAATTCAGAGCACTTAATTCCTGACTACTGAGAGATCCAAATATTTGTAGCTTTATACTTCAAGTAGTCATTTATGCTGATACAAACAGTACTTTGTGCAGTTGCTTACAACTTGAAAATAACCATGAGTGTTTGGAATTAATTGCTTGCACATTTTAAAACGCAATTTGTTAATCACTTAGAGTTTGAATTCATGAAGCCTGAGGCACTATCTGCTATCAAATTACTTCAAGCACAGTGATGCATTAAGATTCCTGAGCACTGTTCTAGCTCTGTCAAAAGCATAACACAGAGAAGGCCGTGGCCAAGAAGGGCGATCAATCCAAGGAGGCCAAGTAGCTCTGGGGCCAGCTGGTGAAACACAGCGTATGTCTGGAGAGTTTGTCTCCTACCCTGCGAGCGGTGTGGCCACATCATGCCTGCCTGTGCTCACTCTTAGGTGATTTATTACATTTTAGCATTCTACAGTCTGGTTGCCTTAGCCTGGGTGCCACCTATGATGAAGGAAGTCCCCAAACCACAGGTTCCTGGAACATGGGGAATATGTCAGAGGAAAGATCATTCTGTGCAGCTGCTTTTGCTGTGGTCTTTCCCTAATGCATCCGCATCTGTCAGAAAGAAAATACTGACGCTCTGGTCTGAGTTAGCTTCTGTGGTCTTACCTGACTAGCGTTCCCTTTCTATTTCTGAGCTAACTTGATTTCTTGCAAACCTCTTCGAAATGGTGTTATGAATAGATTGAAAAGCTATGCATCCCTCTGGGCAGATATCTGTAGCAGCCTGAGTTCCTTTGGCTTTCGTTGGTAATGCACAGCGTATAAATTTAGATTTTTGCATGTGACTGCCAGAAATAATCAACTACATAAGCCTTCCTTGTCAGCTGTAAAATTCAGAGCTTTAGAGCTCAAAGCTTATTTAAGGGCTCTGCAGCAGAAACACTGAGTAGCATTGTAATTACCACTAGCATGTTACTTAATGTCAGTATAAACACAGTGGGAGATGGTGTCATTAAGAATGTTATCATAACAAAATTTAACAGCAACTGGCTGGTACCAAAGAGTTATGGCTGACTTAGGATTTTGCACATCTTGCTGGTTACCCTGGGTGGTAAAAGCCTGCTTGCTGCCTTTCAAGAATACAGGTAGAACCTGTACGCATCATTAACTGGAACTCACACTCTTACATTTTGATTCTTAAAAAAAAAAACAAAACACAAAAAACAAAAAAAAAAACCCCAATCCCACACTGTTATGACAAAATATGAACAAGTAGAAAGCCTGAAAAAAGACAGGGTGGAAATGATCAGGTTTGGGATTTTCATTGTTCATTCAAACTCTGATACTGATGATGACCGCAGTGGAAATCAATAACTCAGTGTTAGTGCCTGTACTGAAGTATTGGCACAGGATGTATGAAGTTAATTTGTTTTTCTTTGCTGGGTTAGATGATGATCTGAAGTGCTTGAAAGCTATGTAGTTTTTTAAAAAAAAGGAAAAAAGAGTCATTCCAGATGTTATTAGATAACAAAGCTTGGTTCTCCTTTCTGATCTTTGCATGTATTATGCACCAGGAATTTTGACTCTGATCCTCGGCTTTATCCATGAGTTCTTTAATTTCCACTTCCTTTCCCCTTTCATCCCCCAGAGGCACAATGGCCCTTTCAATATGCACTGTATAAAAAGCCAGGAATTGAGGGAGGAATCACAGAAATGGCCTGATTTCACTAACAAAAAGAAATCTTTTAGGAGTGTAGACCTATTCCACCCCTAAATCTCCTTCGTTTAAAAAAAGAACACATAAATACAGGGTCCAGAAAGTAACATAGGAAATTTCTCAGAAAGAGCTGCCCTCCTCTGAGAAATTTGTGTGCCAGGAAATCATGAAACTCAATAAGGCTTTAGTAGCCAAGGTTATGTTACATTTCTTTATGTCAAAATTACTTTGCTTATAGAAAAGTAAAGATAACTACCTGTTCAAATCTCTTAATCATCTTTCTCTCCTCTTTTTAGTCAAATTAATGGTCCATACAATACTTATATGTTAAAGAAATTGTTACGTGTCTGCCTTTCTCCCAATTTTTCCTTTTGTTTCAGTCCCTTATTAGCTATTTATCCTCTTTTAATAGTCTCCCTTTTTTAAAGTCCAGCCACAGTATTCCTCTTCTTTTGATTCAAATTAATCCTTTTTCCTTCAAATCTTCCTTTAAAACTCACTTTCACTGACAGGCTTTCAACTGTGATTGAGAAGAGCAGCTCTACTCCTACCCTTCTCTGTGGTCTTAATTAGCTATTCAGTTATTATCCTAATTAGACTGTAAGTTCCTTGTGCCATGCACCTTGCCAAGCTATTTGTTTTTAACTCTCCACATGCACTTATAGTAAGCAAATAATACCTAATGATAATAGCATTAAGTAAAGATGATAAAACAGATAAAAATGAAATGCTTCTGTTCTGATCATCCACCTATGCGGAAATATTTTTAATTACTTACTCTTGAAGTAGCTTTCATAGCCACATTATAACACACCAAAAGCCAGTTGATGAATTTTTAATTTTTTATGCCGGTGAATTGTATGGATGACATGTTTTGTTTTGTTTTGTTTTAATTATATGTTTTAATACCCAATGCTACTAATAATCAGCATATCTTTAAAGCTTTTAATGAAATCTTATGGGGCAAGGAAGAGTACAAGTCTGCTAAATCCTTTGACAGCATATTAAACAACATTCCAGGCTTACCAGGAAATTCCTGTGCTCTGTATTTTTTGAAATTTGGTTAATAACCATTAAAAAAATATATGTTATTGACTGATGATGCATGACCCTTGGAAGGTCCATCTGGCAACAAAACATTCTGAATTTATTTGCCATTTGTAAACATCCTGATTCAGAACAAAAAACTTGAGAATGGCTAATATGAGTTCATTAATGCTTCCTAGTTTATGACAGCATTTAAATCTATAGGGATATTTTTGTGCAATTTTTTATAGTTATAAGAAATGAGAGAGATCTTTAGAAAAGAAATGTTCCATATTTTTTAATTTATATAACAGAAAGACTAACTGTATTTCTGTGATTCTCTACCCAGTTCTTTCTTAGGCTTCTGTGGACACTTTCAGAGAGCCAAAGTACAGGTTTTCCAAATCAGCTTGTACTAAGTGTCTCTGCTAACCTTATCCTTGTTTGGCCTTGTATCACCAACAAGGAAAAAAAGTCAAAAAACCCAAATGAAAAATCTCTGCAGTTTAAAGGCCAGAAAATGTTCAATTCTGTTCACCTGGATAGTATTTTGTTTCTCTGTGTGCATATATTTGTGGGTACTCTACATGCAGAAGGGAAGAGCTGGGTTTGCTATGGCAGAAACAACAACGCTTCACTTGTTTGAAGTGCAGCTCCACTAGTAATTGATATTCTGTTCTTTAGCTGAAGGAGCTTGTGGAGGGACACTACGTGGGACAAGTGGAACTATTTCAAGTCCTCACTTCCCTTCTGAGTATGAAAATAATGCTGATTGCACCTGGACCATATTGGCTGAACCAGGAGATACTATTGCTTTGGTCTTTACTGACTTCCAGTTAGAAGAAGGATATGACTTCTTAGAGATCAGTGGAACAGAAGCACCATCAATATGGTAAGTCAGAGATCTTGTAAAGATCCCAGTTTCTGTTTTTATTTTCTGATGAATATTGTGAAAAGATATTAAAGGATATTTAAGATATTTGAGATATTTTCTACCTGTTAGTAATGACCATTTTGTTATGCATCTTCCTTTGGTCCCTTTCACCCTCCAGAACTGAAAAAAAATGTAGTAGTTTGATTCTTCTTCTTTCTGAATCTTGATCCTTCCTTTTATTTTCCTCCATGTTTGAGAGTTATATTTTTAAGGTATCTTAGCAATGAGCATTTATTGATGTTACATATTTGAACTTGGTATGAGAACATTTTCTGATGTTGTGTCTTGAATGGCTTATCATGATACTGTACTCCAGCAATGAAAGTAGTGAGCAAAATTCAGCCTCACAGTAAAAAAGGAGTATATAGAGAGCAAATAGATGCCATTTTATTCTAAACAGGCTCTAACTCAGTCTTACTACATGTACTCATGTATGCAAGTATTATTATCTTATGTTGGCTGATGTTAAAACTGTTTGCTTAGCAATGTTAGGGCTTCGTAATTATAATACTAAATCTACATTCTCTGTACTAAATAAAAGATGATAGTTCTGTCTTTGGGAATAGATTAAATTGCAGAACAGTTTGTATTATGATTTCTCTGCATGCTACATATGCAGGTTTTCATTTTTTTCATCTCTGAGAACGTCTTGTGCTGGACATATGTGCCATTGCTATAAAATGTAGCCTAAAAAGAATACAGATCTGCTGCTCACAGATGACTGATGGTTCTTCAGAATGTGTTTCTGAAGATCTGAAGCAATCTCACTATTATTTTAATGTCATAACAGGCTAGGTGGTACAATATATTAATAATTGTGAAGTTCTAGGTAGCATCTGATCTGTTGAAAATAAAAAAGTACGACAACCATGCTTGGCAAATATGTAAAAACTTTATTTTGAAGATATTTCTGGATCTATATCACAAGATTACACTCTAATATTTCCACACGACGAAAAGTTGTGTAACAGCACTCAGCGAAGCAGCTTCATATCAAATCAAGTGCTCATGTCTGTTGGAAGTACAATATGCGAGTACCCCATTTGCCTCTCTCTCATGCACAAACATGCACAACACTCATCAATGCCAATGTTTTCTTATTAGGGGTTCTAGGGACCAGAAGCTGAAATCTTGAAGGGGAAGAGCTGATGGATTCTTGCAGCAGAGCATAAAAATCTGTCCATTTAATTTCATGTATGAGTCTGTAGTAGACACCTAACCACATAATTGCAACTTTGTTGCAAGAAATTAATCTGTTACTGAATTGAACATGCAAGTATAGGAATAACTTTACATTTACAGACAGTCACATCTATATATCTGTTCCCCAGAAGATTTCTGATAATAGGTGATGTAGAAGAATATGAGCAGAAAGCAATGGAAATATACTCTGCATTGATCTCATATGGTATTGATCAGTGTTACATTGAAAATTAGAGATATCATGAGAATCTTATTTCTCCTAGAATTCAGTTTAAACATTTTTTCTCGTTTTCTGTGATATTTGTTTTTTTGGGTTGGAGATTTTTTTTTTTAATAATGCTAAACTCTGATCACTAAAAGCTAAGGTTTTATTATATGTTCCTAGGATCACAGAATGATAGAATAGTTTGGGTTGGAAGGGACCTTTTAAAGGTCATCGAGTCCAACCCCTCTGCAATGAGCAGGGACATCTTCAACTAGATCAGGTTGCTCAGAGCCCCGTCCAACCTGACCTTGAATGTTTCCAGGGATGAGGCATCTACCACCTCTCCAGGCAACTTGTTCCAGTGTTTCACCACCCTCATTGTAAAAAAAGTCTTCCTTATATCTAGTCTGAATCTACCCTCTTTTAGTTTAAAACCGTTACCCCTTGTCCTATCACAACAAGCCCTACTAAAAAGCTTGTCCCCGTCTTTCTTGTAGGCCCCCTTTAGGTACTGGAAGGCTGCTATAAGGTCTCCCCAGAGCCTTCTCTTCTCCAAGCTGAACAACCCCAACTGTCTCAAAATTTCTTCATAGGAGGGGTGTTCCAGCCTGCTGATCATTTTTGTGGCCCTTCTCTGGACCTGCTCCAACAGGTCCATGTCTTTCCTGTGCTGAGAACCCCAGAGCTGGACGCAGGACCCCAGGTGGGCTCTCACCAGAGCAGAGTGGGGGGTGGGGGAGAATCACCTCCCTCGACTTGCTGGCCATGCTTCTTTTGATGTAGCCCAGGATACTGTTGGCTTTCTGGGCTGCGAGCGCACCTTGCTGGCTCATGTCCAGCTTTTCATCCACCAGTACCCCCAAGCCCTCTTGGCAGGGCTGCTCTCAATTCCTGCAGCTGGTACTGATACCGGGGGTTGCCCTAACCCATGTGCAGGACCTTGCACTTGGCTTTGTTGAACTTCATGAGGTTGACATGGACCCACTTTTTGAGCTTGTCCAGGTCCCTCTGGATGGCAACCCATCCCTCAGGTGTGTCAACTGCACCACTCAGCTTGGTGTCATCTGCAAACTTGCTGAGGGTGCAGTTGATCCCACTTTCTATGTCATTGATGACGATATTAAACAGTGCTGGTACCACTGACACCAGTACAGGATCAATACAGGATCACTGGTAAAAGTTTGGAGAAGCTATGGGAAGTTTTATAAGAAATGTTTAAAGGATTATTGGATAAATTGGAATGAAGCTACACATTTAGCTATATTTAATCCAGAACAGTTACCATAACGACATTAGAGCCATGCTAAATGTAGTGCATGCTGTAATCTGCTAAAATCAGCTGTGTGTTTAAATGTGAGGTTGTTCCATACTTAAAACTAATGGTCTAGAGGTGTAGCATCTTAAAATGTGACTTTTTTTTTTTTTTAATTGCTCCCTTTTATTGTATCTGGCATCACATCAACAGCTTTGTACAGTAATTCTGTGTTAGAAGACACATATTCCATTAGCACAGTAAGGTAATTAGGATTGTTTTTTCAGTTAAAGGAATATTTGATGTGAAATAAGCCAAATATTATCCTAGTGAAGAGCATAGAAAGGTGATATATGAGCACTGCAAAAGCTAGAAAGAGAGAGAGAATAAAGAAAATAATTTCAGACTGATGATTCTTCAGTGTTTTTAGTGTATGGTGCAATAGGTCTGGATTACCCTCTCCAGATGTATCAACAAAGTTAGAAACAGTTCCAGCATGATTACAGTAAAAACTGGATGAACTTTTTTTAAGTAAAGCAATGGAAATGCTACAACAAGTAGCATTTAAATGCTGAGGAAAAAAAATCTGATATATCTATAAAATCTGTATATAAGAGATACTATATTATAGTAAATGATTATATTATATGCCTTATTTTTATTATATAATAGTAATATTAATTATATGCCTCATGTTTCTAAACCTTCTTTTAAGTTGTTCAGTTAATTTCATGTTATATAGAATCATAGAATCAGTTAGGTTGTAAAAGACCTTTAAGGTCATCGAGTCCAACCGATAACATAGCACTGCTAAGTCCACCAGTAAACCATGTCCCTAAATGCCACATCTACACGTCTTAAATACCTCCAGGGATGGTGACTCAACCACTTCCCTGGGCAGTCTGTTCCAATGCTTGACAACCCTTTCAGTAAAGAAATTTTTCCTAATATCCAACCTAAACCTCCCTTGCTGCAACTTGAAGCCATTTCCTCTCGTCCTATCTCCAGCCACCTGACAGAAGAGACCAGCACCCACCTGGCTACAACCTCCTTTCAGGTAGTTGTAGAGAGCGATAAGGTCTCCCCTCAGCCTCCTTTTCTCCAGGCTAAACGACCCCAGTTCCCTCAGCCACTCCTCATAAGACTTGTGCTCCAGGCCCCTCACCAGCTTCGTTGCCCTTCTGTGGACACGCTCCAGCACCTCAATGTCTTTTTTGTAGTGAGGGGCCCAAAACTGAACACAGTATTCGAGGTGCGGCCTCACCAGTGCCGAGTACAGGGGGACAATTCCTTCCCTAGTCCTGCTGGCCACACTATTTCCGATACAAGGCAGGATGCTATTGGCCTTCTTGGCCACCTGGGCACACTGCTGGCTCATACAGACCCAGCTCTCCACCAGCACCCCCAGGTGCTTTTCTGCCGGGCAGCTTTCCAGCCACTCTTCCCCAAGCCTGTCACGTTGCATGGGGTTGTTGTGACCCAAGTGCAGGACCCGGCACTGGTCCTTGTTGAGCCTCATACAGTTGGCCTCAGAGCATCGATCCAGCCTGTCCAGATCCCTCTGTAGTGCCTTCCTACCCTCAAGCAGACCAACACTCCCACCCAACTTGGTGTTGTCTGTAAACTTACTGAGGGTGCACTAGATCCCCTCGCCCAGATCATTGATAAAGATATTAAACAGAACTGGCCCCAATACTGCACGCTGGAGAACACCACTTGTGACTGTCCACTAACTGGATTTAACTCCATTCACCACAACACTTTCAGCCCGGGCATCCAGCCAGTTTTTTACCCAGTGAAGAGTAGGCCTGTCCAAGCCATGAGCAGCCAGTTTCTCCAGGAGAATGCTGAGGGAAACGGTGTCAAAAGCTTTACTGGAATCTAGGTAGACAACATCCACAGCCTTTCCCTCATCCGCTAAGTGGGTCACCTTCTCACAGAAGGAGATCATTGCTTTATTTTCCAGTGCATTGAAAAACAAGAAGAGATTTATTTACCTTTTCTTATTCTTAAAAGATTAGTTGAAAAGCATTCATACAGTGCATCCTAATGTAATTAGTTTATAAAACATTCAGGTGACATAACCTCACTATTTATTTTATATCCACAATACAATTAGAGTGTCCAAAGTTATTCTTTTTTTTCTCCTAATTAAAGAGCAGTTACATAGCTCTGGATCTTGAATGGATGTGGATATATAGATGACCACATTTTTAATCCTGTTTTGAATCAATATAAGTGTCAACAGGCTTAAAAAGATGAATGTCAGTGTTTGCAAAATGAATGCGAAGCAGGTAG